AACAACAGGATCTCAGCCATGGGACTGTGAGCCTTGCACGAGAGCACTGTATTGGTATAAAGGGAATTTACCATAGAAATGGCAGACTGAAAATTTTTCATTGCTACAAAATGCTCAGATGACAGATAAATTATAGTGAATATACTTTGCATTGCTGAGGTCACTGATGAGAAAGTTTAAGAAACCCCCAAGGGCCAGAAAAAAAGTAAGCTGAAACCATAGAGGTAGTAGAATACAGAAGAGAAAATTTGTGCTGCTTGTGGGAAAAAGAAATTCCAAGAACTCAAGAGTTGGAGGGGACCGTGCAGCTGGGCTTTGCGCCTGTACAAAGTGGAGAAACCAAAGCCAGGCCCTGTCCTTGAGGCAGGTCACGCAGCCTGGGCCCCCGTGAAAAGGCAGCGGGGAACAGCTGCCTGTCTGCAGTGGGAACTGAACTGGAAACACCTCACGTCCCTGCCTGAGAAAAAGAAAAAAGGAATCTCATTAGAGACTGTCTAATCTTAGGTCTGGTCTCCTGGGACAGGAGTTCTGAGTTACACTGCTCCAGCGGGTAAGGAATCCGGGGCTGAGAAATTACGATGATTACCCAAGGCCCCTCCGCATGCCCGCGTGTTACATCCCAGCCAATGAAGAGCTGGCCAGGAGAAGGACTGAGCACCCAAGGAAACGAGCCATCACGAGCAAGTCAGCAGGAGCAGTTGACAATTGATTTAGACCCCTGGGACTTAAGATACCGGAATTATCAGATGCAGAATAGAACTATGGAACTTCTGAAGGTGGTGCTGAGAAAAATAAGCAAAAAGTAAGGTCTCTGAAAATGGCTAGGTAGATTTAAAAATAAATAGAATTCTGAAAATGACAATCATTGAAATACTCGGTGCATTATTAAACAGCAGATTAGATGACTGAAGTGAAAATTAGCGGCACATTGCCTTTGTCAGAGAGAGACAGAGGTGGAAAACATGAAAGCGTTACTCCTTCTGGAAGGTGGGTTGCGAGGGGAGAGCCCTTTCACAGGCGCCAAGGAGCCTATTGACTTGTGTTTCTCAGTATAAAGGGAACTAACCGGCCTGAGTCATCTCAGGATGAAAAAAACACATGGAGCCAAACTCTTCTAGCCCCTCTCTGCTTGTTCCTGACTGCTGGTCTTTCCTGCTCCCCTTGGTTTGAGGGACCCGAACAAGCCACCTCCATGCCTGGGTCAGCTTCGTCGCCTGCTGCCAGGCGCCCTCTTGCGGAGAGAGCTGGACCTGCCGCCTGTGCTACCTCCATCCACGAGCCAGATTCCTTTCCAGGGTGCACACGCAGCAACTTCTGCCATCCCCTCTGCACCGACCTTTTCTGTGGCTGCCTTTCTGCCCCAGAAGTTCTGCTAATGTTCTCTCAGTGTCTCCTAGGGAGTTCCAGAAGTGATCAGAAAACTCAGCCTCCATGTCCCCCACCTTCCACCTTGCACTGGGCTCTTCCTCGCTGCCCCATCTGCCACTTTGCAGGCCCCAGAGCCTGGCGTTGCTCCTTCTTTGGGTATACGTGCTACTGTCTCCTCCAGCCTGGCTGGTGTCAGCAGAGGTACTACCGGAGGATGCCTTCTCTCAGTGCTGTTCACACTGGCAGGTAGCTACTGGTGCCAAGGGAGTGTGACCAGAACAAGGCACTTGTTCTCTGAGCTTGTTTCTTCTTTTGAAATTGGGGGCGCTAACGATGCCTACACCACTGGGTTGTTGCGAGGGTGAAATGTGATCACATGGGTATTGCCCCTAGCACAGGGCCTAGCACCCAGGAAGCCCTCGTAAACTGTGGCTGCCGTTGTAACCTGGTTCCCTCCCTGCCTATCTGTGATTTCCGTGAAGGTTCACCTTAGTCCCCAGCACCCTGCATGGGTCTTGCTCGAGTAGTGGTATCTGTTTCAAGAATAACTTCTGAAGACTCGCTTCATTCTCAGTCCCTTCCTTTCAACCCATCAGAGGCTGTGAAGAGAACCGTAGGGCAGTGGCCACCCTCTAGACTGCTGCTGTCTCTCCAGCTCTGGCCTGGCACTGGCTCAGTCCCCAGGACAGCTTTGAACATGCACAGGTGAGTCACAGGTGCAGGTGTGAGGAGGGAGGAGGCAGGTGCAGGGAGTGGGTGGAGGGGGGGTAGCTGGCTGAGGAGCCCTGAGCTCTCCCAACTTCAGGACTCCACCTGCCTTTGACCTGGGTGCTGTCACCAACCTGGGACATCTCATCGTCCTCAGCACCTGCCACAAAGCAGGTGCCCAGTGGCTGTTGAAAGGGGCTTCAGCTACCAAAAGCAGGGTTGGGAAAGGTGCCCCAGGCCTGATGGCTGTGACCGGCTCCTTACAGCTGAGGTGTTTCTATAGTAGATGGGTGGCTTGGGACAAAGGCCACGGAGGGGGTTACCAAGGTTGCAAATGACCCCGCTCAGCTGGAGTGAGATTGAGGGAGGAGGCTGCACAAATTGGGAGTAGGGACTCACTGCTAAGGGCTCTGAATGCCAGAACAAGAAATCAAATGATCTTGACGCTGAAGGTAGTGGGTGCCATTGAAGGGTCTTGGCCAGAGGAGGGTGGTTTTCAAAACTTTGAACCCACTTTACGGGGAATGGACTGGGGTCAGGGGAAGTGGGGAATGGAAACCCAATAACGAAGCTGCTACAGGCTGGGTGCAGTGGCTCACACCTGTAATCCCAGCACTTGGGAAGGCTAAGGTGGGAGGACCACTTGAGGCAGGAGTTTGAGACCAGCCTCAACAACATAGTGAGACCCCATCTCTAAAATAAAAGGCTGCTAGAGTCTTCCAGGCCAGAGGGGATGGAGGCCCTAACTTGGGGGATAGGGCGAGGGGGTACAGTGTTGATGGCAAGGTAGAAATGCAGGTGGGTTTGTGGGAATAAACTGACACAAGTAAAGGCTTGGGGACCTCCTATGTGTCCCCACAGCCCTGACCCCAGCTCAGAAGTTTGTTTTCCTGTGACTGCAGCTGTAGCCCCCCTACCCCCATCCCTGTCTGCGTCCAGCCCCACACCCACCCATGTTGTCACTCCTGTCTGGCACCCTCCTGGCTCACTGTCACCTGTTAGACAGCTCAGCCCCGGTGGCCCTCACACTCTGCAGTTCCCTTCTGCTTCCCGTGTCCTGCGTCCGCACTGAGACCTCTGCTCGCTTTTCTAGCTCGGACCAAACCTGGTCATTGCCAAGTGACCTTCCCGACCCCATGGGACCCGCCCCTGAATCTCCAGCCTTCAGATGGAAGGAGGACACAGCCCATCTTATTTGAAAACTATTAAAAAGGGGTGAACTTTAAGAACCCCACTGCAGGGCGAGGCAGGCAAGGTGCCTCCAGTGCAAAATTAAGGAGGCACCCACTCCAGGGGTGTCAGCTTGAGGGCTGTGGCATCTTTGTTTAACGAAGGCAATGGGAAGTGTATTTCAGTTTTGAGGGTTTGCTGTCACTGCTGTTTCTGTGGAAGGCAAGAGAAGAGATGGCATCACAGCACAGGCAGGAAGCACGTTACTTCCATCGGCTGCTTCTCTAACAAGGACGTACGTGCGATGGCACGCGAGGAACAAACCTCCCCTGGCCGGCCGAGCCGGGTGTGGCTCACATGCCAGCAGCACTTTCTAGGAGCTGCCAGGGCTCTGGGAAGTAGGGTGGCAGGAGGGCAGCCTGGCACTGGCCAAAGAGCCACCAGGGATCCTCACATTGGCTCTTTGGCCTGGGCAGCCAGGTCAGGTCGTGGAGGAAACTCTTGTCTCCTGCAGGGGCTGCTGGGGAGAAACCGCAGGAAGAACCCTGCCTGGAGCCCCGGACTGGGATGCCCACCTCAAGTTGGTGCCATTTGAGCTGCCTTTCTAGCCATGCCCCAGTGCCCAGCAAGGACCTGGCACCACCAGGGCATTCGGGAACATCGGCAAAATGTCACTTGTCCCACTGGCCACTCACCTCTGGCTTAAAACCTACTATGGCTTCCTTGGGAGGAAGCAGCCTTGGTCCCCAACTTCACCTTGGCCTCGGCCCTGCTGCTGGGCTTCCCCTGGTTCCCCAAGCTCACCTCCCCTGACGGGGCCGTTCCCTCTGCCTGAAACACTGCTCACCCTAACACCCCAGACCAGGTCAGATGCCTAGGTGTCCCCGTTGGTCACCTCCCCTCCATGCCCCCACTCTCTTCCCCCAGCGGCTGGTACTCAGCCATTATTCTCCTGGAACTGCTCTACGTCAGGTGGTGGCGGCAGCGACAAGTCCAACTTGGCAGGGGAGGTTCTGTCTGGGGACAGGTCTTCCAGGAATGCAGCCAAGCTATTTGGGACTCTGAGAAGGCTCTGTGTGGGGTGAAGCTAGAAGCCCCAGCAGATTTTGAGAGGTTGAAAGCAGAGACCATGTTACCTCCCTTTCCCAGGCTGGACCCCAGAAACAGGGTTTGTAGGGCTGAGCAGCCCTGAATCGAGGAAACCTTCACCAGCTGTGATGAAGTTGCCACTCTGCCACCATGGGAGTTCCAGACGGGACTCAGGTGATTTCCAAAGAAAGGTTTTCTGCCCTGAGTTTCTGGTCTGGGAGGCATATAGACCCCACAGCCTGGCCTTGGCAAGAGAGAAGAGGCGACACCAGAGGTGACCACTGCCTTTATTGCCTCTGTGCCAGGGTCCCGGGCTGGGGCTCAGAGGTCTCTGGGGGCAGCAGGCAACCCTGGGCCCAAATTATTGCTACTTGGCAAGGTTACCTTGGGGCTCCCCACAGTGCCCTGAGAATGGGTGGGGTGTAGGCATGCAAATGATATGCAAATGACATGCAAACCAACCCAGGATCCTCCAGAGGTCTCTGGTCCATCCATGGGTGCTGGAAGGGTCAGGGGCCTGCCAGCGCAGGAGGATGCTGGGGACACCCAGGCCCTTACCCCACACTGCCAAGTGATCTGGCCCAGCCTCAGGGGTTGAGGTGTGAGGGGCTGGGGGGTCCCTGAGCATCAGGCCTGGTTCTGCCACTGGCTGGGGAAGAGCAGAAGCCTGGTCCCGAGATAGCAGGAAGAAAGCAGGACACCCACTAGGCAGCCAGATGGCCTGAGGGCCACACTGAGAGGGGAGGGAGCTGCCCTGGGTCACACAGCAAGGCAGGGGCAGAGGGGACCAGAATCCAGGCCTCCTGAGCCAGGCAGAAGCCAAAGTGCCATGGAGACTAAAGCTATAAACAACAAAATATGCTGTGATAAATAAATAAATAAATAGAAAGCAAGCGGCCCAGTCCCTGATCCCCAAGCTGAGAGACCCTGTGCCAGCGGGCCTGGCCCAGGCCTAGAAGGAGGCGGGATCCTTGGTCTTGGTGCTGAGCTGACCAGTCCAGAGGTTCCCAAAGGAGGCAGGCAGGGCCCCAGGGTCCTTGGTTATGCAGCTCAGGCTCAGTTATTATCCACAGTCCACCAGGAGGCTGTGGGTTGGAGTTGGGAGTCAGGAGCCATCGGGGCCACTGCCCCTCCTGGTCCCAGGGCTGGGGGGAGGGGTCAGGCTGCAGCACACCTGGGAAGAACACAGTGCTGAGGGTGTCCGGAGCCCGCAGGTGGTCAATGAGGGTGCGCTGGAAGGCCTTACTGCAGGACGACTGCTGGTGCCTGCAGAGGGGACCAAGGCTACAGCCACGCACCCTTGGGTCTCCCCATGCCCATCCCAGTCCTGCTGCCTGGATGCAGATCCCAGGCCTTCCTCAGGCTGGCTCTGAGCCTCGGTTTTCTCTTCCGTGAAATGGGGACAAAGGATCTGCTTCACTGGAATACTATGAAGATTGAATGAAGGTGCTTGGCATAAGGTGTAGCGCACAGCAACATTGGTGTATACTTGTTGAGTGCCTACTGTGTACCTAGCACTGCACTCAATTCTTTACATGTCATCTCATTTAGCCCACAGGAGGCTGGAACTGTTGTCACACCCATTTTGGAAAAGAGGACTCTGGGGCTCAGGTGGGTTAGCCAACTCATCTGAGGTCACAGAGCCAGTAAGTGGGAGAGGAGGATTTGAACCCAAGCCTGACTCACCCCAGGGCCCACACTTCATAAACGGCGGCTGTTAGACCATCACCCATACCTTCTCCAGGAGGCCTCATCCCGCCAGAATTCATACAGGGTGAAGGAGGCGCTGTCCAGCATCTTCTGGGCAGACACACTGTGGGGCCAAAGACAGGGCCAGGCCAGGCCAGAGCTGCCACGACCGCTGCCCACCCAACCAGGGGTCCCATGGGAGCCCTGGCCCAGGTCAGCCAGCCCAGCACCCCTCCCTGCTCACCCCCTCCCCACCTCAGGTCCCACCAGCCGGCTGAGGACTCACTGCAGACAGTGGCTCTGGGCCCCTGTGAAGTCCACATAGCAGCACAGGGCTCGGTGGAAGTCCTGCAGGGCTTCCTCTGCCACCTGGACCTGTCTCTGGGCCACGAAGATGTGCTGGCAAGAGAGGTGGCCAGTCAGCTAGGGCAGGGCAGGCCAGGGTGCAGGGTGAGGAGCTGGCTGTGGCCTCCCGGAGGACCCCAGCCTCTTGACCTGTGCCAAGTCCAGCCCACCCTGCGCAGGGGCTCCTGCTGCCAACCTGCCCCCGGACGTCCCAGACTCCATCCTCCTCTCCCATCTCCAAAGGCACTGCCTGATGCAGCCAGTGTCCCTCTTGCTCACGGTACGCTGGCCCAGCCCTGGTTGCAGACATGCAGACAGGGGAACTGAGGCCCCGAGAGGGGCAGTGGTTTCTGCAGGGTCACAGAGCCCGCCAGGCCTGGGAAGGGGCACATGTGCACTGCAGAAGGTGGGTAGGCAGCTGGCCCCATGATCCCTCACTTCATGGGCACCTCCAGCCCTTGCCATCCAGCTGCCTGCCCCTCTCCCGGGCTCACCGAGTCAGGCCCCTTAGCCAGGTCCTCTTCATGCAGGGGTTCCAGCCGAGGGGCCTGTGAGGGACACAGAGCGTGGGCCTGACTTGGGCAGATGCCGGGAAGGTCCTCCCCCGTGGGGCACTGGCCCCGTGGCTGCTCACCTTGCACTCGAGCTGGTCAATGAGCTCCTGGAGACGGTTGACCTGGAGCCGCCATTGCATCTCGGCCTCTGAGCTCCGCCCTGGGGGCCCGAGGGGGGTCAGGCATGGGCCCCTCAGGCCGGGAGGCTTCTCAAGACGAACTGAGGGACAGTGGGGGAGCAGACGCTAGGGGAATGGGGGATGTGGCGCCCACCCTGGACCCTCCTTGGCCAGGCCTCCCACCCTGTCACAGGCGCACCTTTGTCAGAGGAGCCAGGAGACCAGCTGGGTGACCGACTGATGCTCTTCAGGGCCCTGCGCCCTGCCCGCCGGCTGCCATGGGGCCTGCTCTGCGCTTCCACACTCTCTTCATCTGACCTAAGGGGAGTGGAGGGTCAGCCACTGCCCCCAGACCCACAGGGCCAAGAACTGGAGCCCCAGAACATGGAGCCCCAGCTCCTGGATGCTGCGCTAGGGAGTGTGAAGAGGATGAGGGATGTGAGATGGGGGGACAATGGGCACTCATGAACTGTACCCGCAGGCTGGCAGGGTCCCCACCTACCTCGAGCCACGGGCCTGGGCCTCCAGGGTATCTGATGCCCCCTCCAGTGAGCTCTGCAGGGCTTGTAGCTGGCTCACTGTCTCCCGCAGCAGGAAGCGTGTCACGAACTGGTCCACCTTGGAGGCCTGCTCATACTCCTGAGGGCCGAGGGGGACGGTCACCATTGCCAGGATTCCTGGCCTGCGCATTTACTTCTGAGTGGGGAGCTGCCTCCCCGGTCCCCTTCCTCTTGCCCATCAGAGCAACAGTGGTAGTGCCAAGGGCAGGGGCATGCAAACCTGGCGTGGGCAGGGCAGCACTGAGGCCAGCGGGCAAGGAGGGCCTGACCCCTCCTCGTCTAGGCATGGCCTCCCTTCCTGGGGGTTGTGAGACCAGCTCATAGGGAGGCGTCTGCCAGCTGGCACGCCTGGCTTTTGTGGACCTCATGGCCCCTTCCCCGTCAGGGCTGCCACCTTCAACATCACCGTGGCCAGGGAGGTCCTAGGCACAGCTAGGCTGGTGAGGGCTGGTCACAGGATCTCCAAGGCCCAACTTTGACACGTGAGGAAAAACTCGTATCCATATGCATTCATTCGTTTGTCCATGCGACAAACGTTTACTGAGCCCTTTTTTACTAGGAGCTGCAGATACAAGACAACCGAGTTGCTGTCCTCACTCCCCCCAGTATTGACCCCGCCCCACATCACCTCCCTCCCGCGGCCCCTCCCAAGGTGGGCGGAGAAGCAGGGGCCAGCGTGCTCTAGGCCCCGTGCTGCCCATCCTGGGATTCTCAGACTCCCCCGCTCCCCGCACCTTCTGGTGCCTCAGTTTCCTCATCTACAGAGCAGGAATAACACTCATCACACTGAGCTGCTGGGAGGCCCCCAGGAGTTAATTCCTACATAGGACTCAGCCCAGGGCCTGGAACTTAAGTTCCCAATACCACAAGAAAATTTTTGTTGTCAAACATAATACAAATAAGGAACCTGCCCACTTGTACACCCAACAGTCACAGGTGTCCTGAGAATCGCCTCACCTCCACCCCTTCCCCACCATCCAGGTGCCTGTCCTCCCTCTACAACGGGGCTCCAGAGGCTCTGTCAATCAGGGGCTTCATCTCCTGCCCATGACCTCCTCAGCTGAGCCAGCAGATGGGAATTCCCGGGCCAGGCTTATGAGCTGTCTCCCAAGACAGGGACAGAGAAGAGGCTGGGTCCTTTCGTTCTCAGACAAGCCAGGGTTTCTGTCTCCAAGAAATCTTTCCAAAAGATTCCCTTTTTGGCACTTAAGACAATCAGTCAGTTTCTGTTGCTTGCAACCAAAGAACCTGATGACAAAAGCACCCATTCTGTGCCAGGCGCTATTCCAAGAATTTCGTTTAACCCTCATAACAATACAGGAACCATAATTGACCCCATTTTGCAGATGAGAAAACTGAGGCCAAGAGAGGTTAATAATCTTGGCCAAGATCAGACAGCTAGTGGCAGGGCCATAATTCAAACTGAAGTCACAGAAATTCCTCTCTATCACTAACCACCTCACATGTATTGCCTCGCTTATAAATCATTGGCCTAGTTTTACAGCTGAGAAACCAAGGCCAGAAGTCACAGAATGAATGGAGCCCAGATTCACCTGTGAATTCTGGGAGGAGGAGCCCGGACCCTAGAACCGGTGACCTCAACTTATGAGGTCACAATGTGGCCTCCCCCGGACAGGGCGGGGCCAGGGCCTGGAATACCAGGCAGAGGCAGCATAGACTGTAGCCCCCAGTGGTGATCAGCCCTGCCATGGGAAACAACAGTTCCCACAAAAGGACCAAAGCACCCAAACAGGCCCGCAAGGAGAGGCCACCTGACGTGGACAAGGCCAGGTGGAAACAGTTCTTCAGTCACTTCAAGCGGAAGAAGAAGAGTGTGAGTGTAGGGGTGGGGTGAGGTGAGGAGGCAGGCAGGGGTCAGGAGACTCTGGACAGGCTGGCAGGAAGGGATGCTAGGAGGCCTTGTGGGCAGAAGTCCTAGGGGTAAGAGAAGGGTCAGAAAATCCCTCGCAAAGATGAGGGTCCCAGGAGCCTAGATGGGTATGGGTAGGGGTCCTAGAAGCCCAAAGGGGAGGGCAGGGATTCCAGAAACCAAGAGTGGATGAGACGTGGGAGCCCAGATGGGTGGACACGAGATGGAGTCTCCCAACGCTGGGTGGAGGTGCTGGCGTGGGCAGTCAGCCCTGGTTGGTACTACTGGGGCTGTGGGCACGGGAAACTCCCTTATGCCCTCTCTTGGCCCCCAGCCTCAAAGCGTGCTGCATCCCCCCGCTTCAAGCGCGCAGAGGCCCTGGCCCAGGCATCAAGGCTGGGAGGGCAGACAGGGATCCCATAAACGTGGAGGCAGCTGGGTCTCAGGAAGTCAGCCTGGGGTAGGTGAGGGTTTCCAGAGCAGAGGCGGTGGTCCTGGCGTCCAGCAGGGAAGAGTGTGCTTCTCCCCACCGGCCCTGCGCATGGAAGGGTGACAGGATTCCTGGGAGATAGGAGCCAAGCGGATGAGCTCTTTCCCCTCACGCCCTTGCCCCATCGCCAGACCAAGATCGTGCTGCTTTTCCCCGTGTACAAGAGGCAGCAGCAGGCCGAGGCTGGGCGGCCGGCTGAGGACGCGCCGGGCGCCGCGGGGGTGCCGCCAGAGGCGCCCATGCTGCGCGGAGCGGGCGACGGCGCGGGGCGGCGCGAGAGCGCGCGCGCGCCCGAGATGAAGAGGATTCTGGTGCTGCTGCTGCTGCTGCTAGACGCGCGGCTGCAAGAGGAGGGGCGCTGCGCGGGGGACCAGCCCCGCCAGTGGCGCCGCTGCCCTCGCCCGCGGCCCTGAGCGCCTGGCCCGGCCCCCCGCCCCCGGCCCCGGGACCCGGCCCAATAAAGAGCCCATAGTAACCATGGCGTCTGCTAGCTCTGTCTGAGCCCTCGGGGGCGAGGGGGCCTGGGGTCCTGGAGCGAAGCCGAAGCCAAGGCCCAGAGCCACCGCCATGGTCTGGAGCCAGGGCTGCCTTTTGCCTTCTCCTTCGTCGTGCCAAGGGTCAGAACCAGAACCCCTCCCCAGGTCACCCTGCTACAGTGGCGGAGGCTGTTCCCCTTCCCCCCACATTCCAGACCCAGAGCAGATCCTGCCAGGCCCAAGGGAGGACTGAGGAAAACCCAGGCTTGGCCGCACGAGGAGGAAGGACCTGTTTCCATTAAAGGCCTAACACCTTCAAGAGTCCCCAGTATTCAGAAATCCCTCCTAGGCAGAGGGAGTGTCGCAGACAGACAGAATCCTAGGAACAGCCAGGATCCCACAGTCAGCCGGGGTGAGGCCTTAGACTCAGATTCTGCCTGTGGAAGCACCTAGGAGAGGCTGGAATCCCTGGGCCTCTGGCCCCTCACTCCTACCCCACTGTGCTTGGTAATCCCCAAACACTCACCGCCCGCCCTGCCCCAGCCTTTCCCAAGTAACCTCCATCAGATTCAGCCCTTGTCTCTCAAACTACCTTGTCTAAAGTCGTCTTCCAAACCACTGGTTGTGCTGGGCAGCTGAGGCCAGACCTCTGGATGCCAAAATCACTGCCCTTGGCCCTGTCCAGGAGACAGGATGGGTCCAGGGAGTTTTCATGGTGGGGAGGGGGCTTCTGAGGACTAAGGTCACAATGAGTCCAAGCCACACTGTCACTTACGGTCTCCAGTGTGAGGCTCGCTCCCTAAATCACTCACATGAGGCCAAGCACACTTTCTGTGGGCAGGATCCAGCTGCTTCTCATGCTCCTGGGTCCCAAATCCAGTTCCACACCCTAATGCCACCCCAGCCCTGCCAAACCTGCAGCCTTCCTTCCTGCCACACACTGGTGACCAACCTCAGAATGCCCCTTTTGGGGGCAGACACAGTAGGGGTGAAGGACCCAGATCACTAGAGCCACCAGCCAGCTTCTTTTGCAGAAGATGCACTTTTTTTTTTTTGAGACAGTCCTGCTATGTCACCCTCACTAGAGTGCAGTGGTGTCAGCCTAGCTCACTACAAACTCAAACTCCTGGGCTGAGGCGATCCTCCTGCCTCAACCTCCCGAGTAGCTAGGCCTACAGGTGTGTGCCACTGCACCCGGCTAACTTTTCTATTTTTAGTAGAGATGGAGTCTCGCTCTTGCTCAGGCTGGTCTCAAACTCCTGATCTCAAGCAATCCTCCCACCTCAGCCTCCCAGAGTGCTAGGATTACAGGCGTGAGCCCTTGCACACAGCCTAAAGATGCACTTTTGTCACTGTCAACGCAATCAACATCCCTCCACATTGCCTGCATCAGGCTGGAGGTTGCATGACCCCTGCTTATGAGAACTACCATCTCTACGGTTACAATCAGGACAACCATGTTTTTCCAGGGGGCCAGCCTCCTGGCCATATGTGATTGGTCCAAGCTGGTCCTATGAGTCCCTTCCCTGGAACTGGAATTCAGGAGCTGGAAGAGACCATGTTTTCCACATGAACATGCACAGGCTAAAGTCAGTTTTCAGAAGAATAAAAACACAATGCAAAGACAGTGCACAGCCTGGGTTCCCCACAGCCCCATGGTCAGACTCTACTCCTGAAACTTGATTTCACCCTCGCCTTTGGTATCCCTAAGACAAGATCCTTGTAATAAAAATCCCTGTTTTAGCTTTTGTTCACTTGAGTGAGTTTTCTACTTGCAACCAAGATGGTCCTAAAGACAATAATGAGGCTTTGTAGAGACAAGTGGCCCGTTTTCTGTGTGTGACGATTACTACTACCTTTTGGAGAGAGAAAGTGGGCCCAGAGAAAAACCAGGACTTGCTCAAGATTGCACAGTGGTGTCAGTTTCAGAACTAAGTCATAAACTCAGGCCCACGTGAGTCCATTTGAGGAAGCCCCTGAAGATGGAGCCCCTAGGTGGGCTGCCTAGGCACCTCAGGGCTAAGCGCACAGAGGAGCCTACCATGTGGCCCGAGTACATCAGATAATCCGAAGTGGTTTGGGGAAGGCATCAGACTGGCTGTGCTGGCAGCTGAGGCCAGAACCCTGCATGCTAAAGTCGCTGCCCTTGGCCCTGTCCAGGAGAGAGGATGGGGCCAGTTTTCATGGGGGGTGGGGGCTGTTAGCGCCGCCAGTGCTGAGGACTGAGGTCACAATGAGTCCAATCCAAGTTCTTTTTTTCCTTCCTCCTTTGACCAGCCCCTCCACCTCCACAACCAGGAACTTCTTGGGCCAAGCCCAGGTGAGAGATGCCAGGAGGCTGCCTGGGGCTCAAGGGCTGGGCTGGACTCCTGGGTGCCTAAGGGGGATATATGTCCAGATGGCCTTGCCACAAGGCGCCTTCATTCCCCGAGCTCTGTTCCTCCGGGTAGCTTCTCGATATCTAAAAGGATTTGGCCTGGCCCTCTCGGCATCGACCTCAGCTGGGGCCGAGGGGGCGGAGAGGCACAGCAGAGGCGCGTGCTGAGAGGTGGGGCCCAGCGCGAGAGGAGACTGACACGGAACCAGAGGCGGGGCCTCACCCAGGGGCGGGCCCACGAGCTGAAAAGGAGCCCGCCACACCGGCCCGAAGAGGTGGGGCCTCACGGCCAGGGGGCGGAGCCAAGAATTGGAAAGGATAGTTATCTGGCCCAGAAAAAGAGGCCTTAGGCCCATGACTCAGGGCCAAGATCCCATCCATCTAGGATAGAGGGGAGGCCTCGCAGACAAGGCACAGCCGCGCGGAGGGGGCAGGCCCTTCGCCGAAGGGCGGGGCCGTGCCTGGAAGGTGGCGTCGGCATCCCGGAGGCGCCAGGCCCGCGGGTGGCCCTCACCGGGCCACCTCGCGCTGGTGGTGGACCCGGGCTCGGGCTTCACCAAGGCGGGCTTCGCGGGCGAGGACCAGCCGCGCGTAGTGCTGAAGAGCTCCAGTCTGGTGCCCAGCTGGGACCGGCCCGTGCTGCCCGGCGCGCCCGGCTGCGAGCTGGTGGGCGGCGTGGCGCGGGCGCACCCCATCAAGCACGGCGTGGTGGTGGACTGGGAGGCGCTGGAAGGGCTGTGGGAGCGCCTGCTGGTGGGCGGCCTGCGGGTGTGCCCAGAGCAGTGGCCAGTGCTGGTAAGCGACTCGCCGTCGGCACCGCCCGCGGGCCGCGAGAGGGTGGCCGAGCTGCTGTTCGAGGCCCTGGAAGTGCCCGCGTGCCACATGGCCAGCACCGCGTTGTTGGCGCTCTGCTCCACCGGCGCGTTCACCGGGCTGGCAGTGGAGGCGGGCGCGGGCGTGTGCCACGCAACGCCTATCTACGCGGGTCATTCGTGGCACGAGGCCACCTTCCGGATGGACGTGGCAGGCAGCACCCTGTCGCGCTACCTGCGGGAGCTGCTGGTGTCAGGGTGCCCCAACCTCCAGGAGCAGGCCCTGTCCCGCAAGGCCATCACACAGCTCAAGAAGCGCTGCTGCTATGTGTCACTGGATTTCGAGCGCGATCTGCATAACCCTGCCCGCCACCATCCGGCCAGCTTCTTAATGAGCAATGGGTGTTCCGTCCACCTAAGCAGCGAGCGCTTCCGCTGCCCCGAACCCATCTTCCAGCCGGGCCTGGTAGGCCAGGCTGAGCCGGGACTGCACGTACTGGCCTTCCAGGCGCTGCAGAAGATGCCCGCAACACTGCGGGCGCGGCTGGCTCACAGCGTGGTGCTGGCGGGAGGCTCCACGCTTTTCCCTGGCTTCGCTGAGCGCTTGGACAAGGAGCTGGAGGCGCAGTGCCAAAGGCACGGCTTCACAGCCCTGCGGCCCCACCTGGTGGCCAAGCCCCAGCGTGGCACGGCCGTGTGGACAGGCGGCTCCATGGTGGCCTCCTTGCGCTCCTTCCAAAGCAGCTGGATGACCCGGGGCATGTACCAGGAGTGTGGCTCCAGGTTGGTGCACGAAGTATTCAACTGAGTCAGGCTGGACTGGAGGGGGTGGTGCCACGGGGGGTGCAGAGGCCCTGGGCTGAGGTGCAGCTCTATCAGAAGCATCGAGTGCCAGATAAAGTCTCATGTTTGGAGCTGGTGGGGTAATTGTGTATCGATGGGCCACCCCCTACCCTTTTCTGGGCCTGGAGAAGGTGGTTAGGAGCCATAGGACCCTCATTTTTGACCTGCAGTTTGAATCTCCCAACCACTGCCAGTTCAGAGAATGCCAGTCCAGCTGCCCAGCCCCAGGGCCATTTCCATGGCAACAAGGAAGGTGATGCCACCATTTGTGTGCACACTACAGATAGGGAAGTCCCCTCATCCCCTCATCATGTAACATTTGGACACACATTCCATGCCATGTCCCAAAGGACAACTCTGAAAAAGCTACTAAATCGCTCACTTGAAAGCAACCAGTAGAAGCCCTGTCCCCAGCTGTGTGCTCAGGTGATTGTTGACTCCAAGGGCCTCAGTTTCCCCTTCTGTAAAAGGCAGTGTCAGGCTCACTGCTCCCTCCCCCTCATAAGAGCTATGGGGCAAAGGGAGGTGGAGACATTTCTTAAAAGGAACACACAGACCGGGCGCGGTGGCTCACGCCTGTAATCCTAGCACTCTGCGAGGCCGAGGCGGGTGGATCGCTTGAGGTCAGGAGTTCGAGACCAGCCTGAGCAAGAGCGAGACCCTGTCTCTACTAAAAATAGAAAGAAATTATCTGGACAACTAAAAATATATATATAGAAAAAATTAGCCGGGCATGGTGGCGCATGCCTGTAGTCCCAGCTACTCGGGAGGCTGAGGCAGGAGGATCACTTGAGCCCAGGAGTTCGAGGTTGCTGTGAGCTAGGCTGACGCCACGGCACTCTAGCCCGGGCAACAGAGCCAGACTCTGTCTCAAAAAAAAAAGGAACACACAAAGGGTGGGGTGGCTTATTATTTGAAGTCATTGCCCAAGGTCCTGGAGTCCTGGCTGTCCGCACTGTTTATGCTTATGCACACACGTGTCCACACGTGTGCACAAACACACAGGTACTCACATACCTGGTTACTCACATATGTCCTCGGGCCAGACCCTGCCCCATAGGCTCCATGCACCAGGACTTGTGTGAGCACAGCACCGCCCCACCCCCCAGCTCATCCCTGCTGGGTCCTGGGCTGCTTAAAGTCCCAGGACAGTTACAAATGGCCAATAATAAAAACAGCAGCAGCAGCTCCTGATATGAAGCACGTACTGTGTGCCAGACATTGTTCTGGGTGCTGGGAGCAGAGCAGAGAACTAAACACAAAAGTCCCTGCCTGCCTTCTCATGCACTGGTCCCAGTGACTGTGGAGGTAGGCTCTATGATCCCTGGTTCACAGATGAGGAAGCTGAGGCCCAGAGAGTAAGGGGGCACAGGCACAAAGTGGGAGAGCCAAGATTGGAACCCAGGCCTCTAGCTCCATAGCCCTGAGCCAAGACAGCGGCCAACAGACACCCCCCGCCTCACTGCGGGCCCCCCACCATCAGCCACTCCACTCACCAGCTTGGTGGCGTCCATGGCAGTGAGCACTGCACGATTCAGCGACTCCAGCGCCGCCAGCACAGGCCGGTAGACACCCAGGTGTTCTGAGAAGTAGTCTGTGGGCAGAGTTGGTGCTCAAGGGTTCCTGGGCCTCCCACCCATCTACCCAGCCTGGAATTCAGCAGCCAAGCAAGCCTCATATCCCAAGCCCAGCCCATCCTGTCCCATCAGGTGACCAGCAACAGCCCCCTCGCCACAGCCACCCACCCAGGGGGCACGGGAGACAAGAGCTCCCATGGGCCTACTCACCACACAGTTTTTCCGTTTCTAAATTGCTGCAGGGAAAAGAGAAGGTGCCCTTCAGACCTTTAGGCTTGGCCTGGTAAACTGGGAAGGCAATGCCCCCGCTCCCAACCGACTCCCAATGCAGCCTGACCAGGAGGTGACCCCTGCTCCACCCCAGATTAAGGTGCTCCATGGGCAGTCCTTGTTGGGGGAGGAGAAAGGGTACTACTGCCCCTGTCAAATGCTCTGAGGGCAAAGGCTCAGACCCACTCTTGGCCTCCGAGGGGACCTCAGGCCAGGGGGAGACAGATGTGGACGCGGGCCGGAGAGGAGTGGTCAGAGTTGGGAAGGGGAATTAGGACCAGGCGGGGAATGGGGTATTCACTTCATAGGTCAGCGAGGGCTTCTAGAGAAGGGGCTGCCCAAACTAGGTCTTGAAGGACAAGGAATGCGGGGAGGCTGCCAGTGGGGGAAGGGGAACACCACAAATGAAGGCTCCAGCCCAAGCCTCAGGAGCCTCCGAGAGTCTGAGATTTATCCTAAAGAGAGAAGGGAAGTGAGAAGAAGGAACAGCTGTGCATGTGTGTGCACCCATGTGAGGGAGCACAGAGAGGAGTGTGCACACTCTTGCCAAGACGTATATATGTGGGAGCACATGCGGGGAGATGTGTGTGTGTTCGTGCACCTGCATTACTGGGTGGAAGCAGGCGGGGCCCAGCTGTCCCCAGGCATCCTCTGGTCCCTGCAGGAATCGGCAATGGAGGGCTGAGCAATGGGTGGTGACTCAGACTTGGCTATTTTTGGGGTCCCAGCTGGAAGCAGTGTAGTGGGCAAGGCTGGAGCTGGGGGGGGTGCGCGGGCTGGTTAAGTTGGCACCAAGCCTTAGCACCTTTCTCCCTGCCCCCAATCGCAAGAGTCCTCCAAAAAGAACAGAGGCAGCAGGGGACACAGTGGTGTAGGGACAACCTAGCCTTGCATCCCCCCATGGCCCAGCCATCCCCTCTCTCGTACTCACTCGGTGAAATGCCCATCAATGCCGCTGAACAGTTCCCGCAGCTCCCCTGGGCTGAGAACCCCATCGGCAAAGTAATTCTGGAATTCCTCAAATGAGAGCTTACCATCATCTGGGGTGGGGGGAGGACAGGGAGCAAAGTAGGTATCCCTGAATCCTGACTGCACCCCTGCCACCAGGTCCAGGGCCCCCAGAGGCCTTATCGCATCTCACAACCACCCAGCCAGGTGGGATGGGAGACTTAGCTCAGTGGGGGGGCCTGACTATTGGGGACAAAAGGACTGGGGTCCTCAAAGGTGTCCACTGAAGGCAACAGGACCCACTTTGCAGGCACCCAGGGGACAGGGCAGTACACACATGGCATTGGGTAGGGACTCAATAAATGCTTGCTAAATGAAGAAACAAACAGGCTGGGACATGGCCAGAGCATAGCAGGGCCTCAACATCACTTGGGAGGACTTGGAAGCCAAGTCTCTGCCCCAGATGCTGGCCAGCCTTGCTCCAGGGTTGAGGGAACCTCTGTGTTCTGGACCCAGGACCTTCACAGAGAAGACACAGGGCAGATGAAGTCTTCCTAAGAGTTGGAGCCTCTGGACGAAGCAGCAGGCTGGCTCAGGAGGGAATGAGCTCCCCATCACGGGAGGCATGTGAGCAGAGGCCGACAGCATTCGAGTGGTATAGTCAAAGACACTGGAGACTTGGCCTCAATGATGTGCGAGGTCTCTGAGCAGATGGGTGGGGGGAGCCCGGCTGAGGGAGAGTCTGAGCCTCCCCTGACAGAAGGCCCTGATCCAAGTGGGGGCAGGTGTCCTGACCAAAGGTTGAGACAAACATCTCTACCAATCTGAAGAGACCCCAAGAGAAGGGGCAAGGAGTGGGGACATGACCCTGTCTCAAGGAGGCTGAGACACAAGAGGGTCTGAAGACCCAGATGAAAGGAGCTCCGGGCTGGGTCAGCCGGCTGTTCCAGGCCATCTAGGGGCAGCAACCTGTTGCTGGCTGGATCCTCTAGGCCTCTGCTTGAACTTGCAAGGCTTTCCCAGACCAGGGCCTGAGACTGCCCAGGACCCAGGGCAGGGGGAGCTGACCCCCTGGGCACTGGACCCAGCCTTATCCTTGCCCAAGTGGTGGGTTTAACTGTATCCTCCACACCCGCCCTGGGTCCAGATGGTTGGTCATTTGGGAAGCTACTAGGCCCTCCACAAATCTGAGTAAAATCTTCCAGTAGGCCTGGTCTCTGGTACCTCACCCTTCCAAGCCCCTCACGCAGGGAGCCCGGGACCAACTGTCACAAAGACCCGGGCTCCTCGAGGCCCACCTGTTAAAGGCTGTGTGACCTCAGGCAGCCTGCTTCACCTCTCTGGGCCTCTGCTCCTTTGTCTGTGAAATGAGGTGAAGAATTCCAACCTAGCTGGTGGTTGTGAGGACAGCAGGAGGTCATGTGCAGCAAATAGCCATCACTGTGCCAGGGTGCTATGTGAAAGCAAGCCACTGCCTCCAGCCCCTGGCCAAACCACACTGCCTCTGCGCTCCATCCTGCCAAACTGGCTCAGACCACACTTTTTCTGGGAAGGATGCCTCGATTGATTCTCTTGAAGATTTTTCTCTACTCTAGACTGTGCCCTCCCCACCCCGCAACTCTCCCCTGGGTGTCTCCCCACCATGCCTCCCTCTGTGGGACCCAGGGGAAGCCACACTCACCATTCTTGTCTGCTCTGCGGAAAACCTAGAGGACAAGGGGTGGGGGGAGGGAGCTGTGAGTGGGGCCTAGGAGTTGAGGCCCCTACCCAAAGCCCCTACCCAACCCAACAGGGCTCCAGCTGGCCTGCCTGCCCCCTGCCTTGCCTTTCCTACTGCCTAGCCTGGTCCCAACCCCCTACCCAGCTCAGCCCTGCAGGAGCTTTTCCTGCAGGAGACACAGGAAGAGCACACAGCAGGTGCCACCCTTGCTCACTTCTCCTGCAGGGCCTGGCCTCCCAGGGAGGGGAGAGTTCCAGGCCAGCTCCCTACATCCCTCCCTCCCACACCCAGAGTCCAGCCCAAGTTCTGTCTGATGCATCAACCCTTGGCATGGCCCCAGCTTGAGGAAGTTTGGGGAAATGGGCCAAGATGCGGCCCAAGGATCCTGGGCAGCCGTCCCAGACCTGAACCCGCAACTCTGCTGTGTGGCCATGGTCTATCCCAGACTCTACCTTCTCTGCCTGCTTTTTGGAGACAGACACCAGGCAGTGGCTAGTCCTTTCTTTGCAGGTGCCTCAGTTTTCTGACTAGCGCAGTGGGGAGCAGCCTGGGCTTAACCCTTTCAGGGCTAGGGCTTCCTATGAGGCTGACTTTCTGAGAGCCTTGGAAAGGCGTGTATATACATGTATGTGTGCAAGGGGGAGCAAGGGTGGCAGAAGGCAGGGTCAGCAGATTTTATTTACGGAGAGGCAGAGATAAAGGGCAACAGAGGCAGAGAGGAGCGGAGTCAAGACAGATTCTGCTCCTCTCCCAGGAACCAGCACTCCCAGGTCACCTAAAGCAGCCCAGCAAGGGGAAGACCAGTAGGCCTGGCAAGGAGGGGCGGGCTAAAGCCTGAGCAAAGAGCCCCCATGGGCTCTGGGTCCTGAACGCCAACCCCCTCCAGCTGTTTTCTCAGGGTCAGTGAGGCTCAGGAATGACTCTAACCCCTAATCTGACCAGAGAAGTTCTGTTACTGGCTTAGGGTCACACAGCAGCTCAGTGAGGTCTGGGTGGGGTAGATGGAGATACTTAGTGGGGACAGGGGTGCTAAGCTGGGAATGAGACACCTGGGGCCATACGCTGTTGTGTCCCTTCCTCCACGTGTGACCTGGGACATAACCCCTTAGGCCTTGATTTTCCTACCTGGGAAATGGGAGGGTCCCTTCCAGCCAGGTGGGCTGTGGTCAAGGTGCTGAGTCACTGGGGTCAGTGGGGAGGGGGCAGTGGCACAGCGTTTCCCTCTGCTGGGGACCTCCGGAGTGGGGGCATGAGAGGGGCAGGACAGGGTAGAGAAGGGGCTGCAGGGCCACGACTGCCCCATGGGAGGGGGACCGAGACCACAGACGATGACTGTGGGCAGCCTTTACCAACTGTGGGACTCCACTGCTCTCGGGTCGGGCCTGAGGCACTAGGGTCAGGAGTGAGGAGCTCCTTATGCTTCCACCGCCCCCCCGACCCTGTCAGCCCAGCCTGGGGCCACCAGAGTGGGCACAGTGACTGCTGCTGTGATTAAGTGTTGACAGCCCCCACCCCCACCAGACACACAGATGGGTGGGTTTGGGGGTGGGGGGCAGCAGGGGCAGTGACACTGGAGCAGAGACATGAGGAGACTCAGAGAGACAGAGAACGGGAGACACAAAGGCAGCGAGGTCAAGATAAGGGAGACCCAAACAGACAGTAGTGAGAGGGAGAGACACTGACATAGAGACAGAGACAGAGAAAGACGCAGAGACGGAGCCAGGGAGACACAGGGGGAGACGCGATCGAGACCTGGGGAGGCCCCGCGAGAGACACCGCCCGCGCCCCACTCACGTCCTGGAAGAGCGCGTGTCCGGCAGGCCCGGCGTCGGGCGTGGGCTCGGGGCGCCGCAGGGGCTGGGGCGCGGGCGGCCGGAGCAGGCACACGGCGAGCAGCCCAGCGCACGCCATGGCGCCGCCCGCTCGGCTCGGGCTCGGCTGCGGCTCGCTCCGGCCCCGGACTCCGCCGCCGCGGACTCGGTGGGGCTGGGGGGCGCCCGCCCATTGGCGCCGACGCGCGAGCCCCGCC